AACTAACAACTATTTACAAGTAACTATTTACACGCGAGTACCAAACAATATATATTATGGTTATATTTGGTTTTATCGATGTATTATGGCAATAATAAGCATATCGATATCTTGCTCTAAACAGCCATACTATAGTTGGTACTTAACATGTCAATTTCGTTATTAAATTATTTACTATACATATATTAGAATACGCACTCTAGTCTATGCCGGGACTGAGACTTTCTGTGACTGTGAAATAATAGAATTACAATCAAACCGTCAGTAGGGCTTATGCACAACGAGAGGAATAAGCACGGTCTTACATACAGGTCTCTCAACTCGATAGAATTTCAGTGGTGGGGGTGACTCCAATATCGAAGTCATTTCTTGTGGTGTCGCTGCTATCGAGGGATGTCGATTTGACACGCGATTTGAAATACGTAACCTGTGTTGTCATTGCGTTAATAAACCAATAAGTCTTTATTATTTAATACATTGTGTTGTGCTGTTTTCGGTTATTTGTACATTCCCTTTTTCATTCACGATCGACACGTGGAATTTTAAGGTATAGGCAGTTAGTTTCTATAAAATTTGTCTTGGTCTGCACGCAATTATTTTTGTACGATTTACAATATATTTTTATCGATTTACAATGTATATTATTAAATTTTAAATTATATAAATACATATATACAATTTTTACAATATAATTGCGATATATATATAATATATATCTATATCATAATTATATTGTAGAAATTGTATATATGTATTTATATAATTTAAAATTATATATATTATATAATTTATTTATTTATTGTAAATGTATTATGAAAATTGTGGATTCTTGATTACAATATAATACGTATGCGCTATGCGCTACTATTGCTCTCTCGCTCGCACAGCACATCCCTCGATTGCAGCGACCTCATACTTTTCGGTTTCGCCAAGCGAACCATCCCCATTATACGAGTTGAGAGACCTGTATGTAAGACCGTGGGAATAAGGAACAAGGAATTAAACATAGAGAGAATTTATAGTTGCATCTTTTTTCACGGTCTTGAAAAAGGATGCGACTATGAATTCCCTCTATGTTTAATTTCTTATTTCTTGTTTTGTTTATTTAATTTCTTATTTCTTATTCCTGTCATTGTATGCATGAGTTCTTATCCAGTCAATATTGATGCAATAATATGGACTGTGGCATTATTGGTTAGACAAGGATATTTTCGTTGCAATTCTCCTATCATATATTCTCACAATTTTGATCAACGACAGGGAAAGAAGTGCCCATTTCAGTATAATAAATAATTTAACATATTTCATTAATTTTGAACGCGGTTTTGCATTTGTTGTATGACCGATACGATTTAAATAATTATAAATAAAAATAATCAAGGTTAGATTAAAGTTGAATCATCAAACAATATTACTTTCTTTATTTTTTTATGTTTATAATTTATATTTTATGATCCTTAGAAGAAGATATTGATAAAGAGGCGTTTCTGAATATAAGCGAGACCGAGGTGTTACGAATAATATCTACGATTGGAGGGATTCGCTGTTTTCTTGAGAAAAGGAGATTATTTATAGGCAGTATTAAATTCGTAAGACAAAAGTTTTTATAATTTTTAGGATTTTAATAAACAGTAAAAAATAGTTATTTTAAAATGTGTTTACAAAAATTAATATCTTGCTATCTTCATAAGAAAAATTGCATGAAATATCAGACAACGATAATGATAATCAATTGGAAAAGTTACAATGTCAAAATCAGCAATTATTAAAACCCCTTGCAGTGAAATCAAAATCTCTTATCCGTAAAGAAAGAGAGTGTGAAGAATCAAATTTTAAGCAAAAAAAAGTAAGATTTTTTAAATCATCTTGCAATGATGTGATGCACAAGCTTCGGTATATAAAATATACTCCTTTTCTTGAAAATTTGAATTAAAGAATAAAATATTTAAAATGTGTTTACAAAAATTAATATCTTGCTATCTTTACAGGAAAAATTACATGAAATATCAGACAACGATAATGATAATTAATTGAAAAAGTTACAATGTCAAAATTAGCAATTATCAAACCCCTTGCAGTGAAAACAAAGTCTCTTATCCGTAAAGAAAGAGAGTGTAAAGGATCAAATTTTAAGCAAAAAGAAATAGGGTTTTTAAAATCATCTTGCAATGATGATGCTCAAGCTTTGGTATACAAAATAAAATACTCTTTTTCTTAATTTGAATCAAAGAATAAAATATAAAATTGAGATATACAATTAATATAAAATATGGTCGAAAGAAATATATTCAACAATGCTTTTGTTTTGTTTTGATAGACATCGTATACACAAAAAAATCGTCTAAACGATGAAACATTAATTGATAATCATCATTACGAAAATTGTCATAGCAGTGGGAATGTATTAAACGATTCATCAGATAATATATCTAATATATTGAGTACCGAAGAAGATAATATAAGAGAGAGTTCTGCATTAAGAGAATGTGACAATATTAAAAAAAATCGAAGAAAAGTAGTAACAATCAGAATAAGTTAAATAAAATTTCATGCACTTTAAGTCAATTTACATCACTTCAAAATACGGTAAAGTTTTCATGCAAAATTTTATAAATTTTTTATTAATTTTATAAATACTTTACTAATTATTTTATTATTTTTAATAGGATTTGAAAGAACTGTTACTAAACTTTACAGATGGACAAATTATTATAAAATTTTATGAGAAGCATAACGTACTCGATGAAGTCAAACGTAGAAAATTGGTTGAACTTCTTGTTATTCAATTTATGTTTCAAAAATCTGAAAATGGGAGAGAAATGTAATGGTTAAATGTTAATAGAACGTATTTTTATGTGTTAGGATAGATCGATATAAATCGATACATTTAGTGTTCTCTCTTGCGTACTCATATGTACTAAAAGCACGTGATAGCGACGTGATGCTGCGATGTCACGTATACGAAAGTATAAGTCAGTCGCGTATGAGTACTTCGCATTCGAGCACTGTAATAACGCTACAATAAAGTATTGTCTATTTTTACATATATCACGCCGCAAATTAATTCATCCCACTCGCAATCCTGACATTATGTCATATTTAAATTAATAATGTATTTCATAAATGCGTTCTAATGCTTGTAGAGTTTGTTTGTTAAATGCCAATTTTGACATTTTATCACAAAAAATCAGGAACTTGTTTCCAAATAAGTGACAGGCATTTTATTATGTATGTACCACCAAAATCTGAAGAACCATCTCAAAAAGTATCAAAAGGAAAATTACCAGACTTTTATCGAAATGTGTCTGTGAAGTTGGCATATCATTTTCCAGCAGATCAAAAATAAAAGGCAGTTCTTGTCGCATGCAGTCGAGTTCTATAGTTCCTGATACTTTTTAGTAATAGTTCTGGTGATTTTACCCAAAAAACAGTCGATCGAAAAAATGATCTGCTAACTTCCCGTAGCAGATCATTTTCTAGCAAATCAAAAATAAAAAAGAGTTCTTGTCGCATGCAGTCGAGTTCTATAGTTCTCGATACTTTTTAATAATAGTTTTGTTGATTTTGCCAAAAAAAGTCCATTGAAAAAATTATCTGCTAATTTTCCGAAATCTCAGAGTTCCGGTTTATTTAAAATATTTTTCGAATAGTTCTAAGCATACTGAAGCATTTTCTAAAGATTTCCCGACATTAGCAATGTTGTACAATTGTTTTAAAAATTAATACCGCTCGAAAACAGAGTATTTAGAGAAAATAGGGTGATATGCTGTACGAAATATC